GGCCCACATCCCTGTCAACCCATCGTATTTATATACCCATCTAGATGCCTATAAAGTGAGTGAAAAAGTTGCCGCTCAGATTCTTTTTAAATCTTTCCGCTGTCACCTTGAACCTATGCCCACTAGCTTTGGACTCCCCAACCAAGTAAAAAGATCTTTGGCTATTCACCTTATCCAAGCCCCTCATGATTTTAGAAATCTCTATAAGATCACCCTTCAGTCTCTGCTCCAGGGGAAAAAATACCTGAGCCTATTCAGCCTCTCCCTGTAGCTCAAACCCTCCAATCCTGGCAACATCCTTGTAAATCTTTCCTGCACCCTGTCAAGTTTAACGACTTTTTTTTATAGAGAAAGGTGACCAGTATTCTAAAAGTAGTCTTGGCAATGTTCTGTACAGCCACAAAGTTTAACATGGGTTAGGGCTTGGATTTTGCATCCCTTGACTCTATAGCTGTTTCTGGGTCCACCTTTCTTGCATTATAGGTTGGATAGGCAGCCAGTGGGAGCTGCTATAAAACTGCCTAAGGAATATTTTACTATTTATTCCTTCATCTCATCAATGCAAAGTGTCTGCTTTGAAAAACAAAGGATAGTTGGTGGTGGGGTCAAAGAGATTTAATACACTTTTAGATTCTGTTGCTTACTTCCTTTGCATTATACTGGTGAAATGTAAAATATTCCTACTGTGAAAGTATGTCTGAAACAAGAAGTTTGTGAAAAAAGAAGTTTGATTTTATTCTGTGCATAGTGTGTGCCTTCTGACAAGTGCTGATTGCCCTTGATTAAACTGAAACTCTGGTTAGGCACACTGTTCACGAGATGAAAGATGCCTTGTTTTGTAGAACTGGTTTATTTGGTTTACTTGTTTTTTTAAAAGATATTTTGTCTGTGTACGGATCTTAGAGTTGACCAAAAAAAAGGCAGAGTCAAGACCACTTTATTTTGTAGGGATAAAATATGGTGGTTGCAATCTGCTCTGTTGTATGGTGATGTGGTTGATGAGTTAAATAGAAACTTAGACTTTGCGCGTGAAGAGAAATTTTCAAATTTCCTTAATAAAACAGTAACCAAGAAATGGGATGAAAGCAATATTATAATGGATAGGAAAAATATATGAATAAGATCAGTTTAAAGCAACATTACGAACTTTGTGATAGCAAGAACTGCAGATGCTGGAGTCAGAGACAACACAGTATGGAGCTGGAGGAACACAGCAGGCCAGGCAGCATCAGAAGAGCAGGAAAGTTGACATTTTGGGTCAGGACCCTTCTTCAGAAATGATGAGGGGGAAGGGAGCTGGGAAATAAATAGAGAGAGGAGGGTTGGGGCTGGGGAAGGTCGGTGGGATGGTGATAGGTGAGTACAAGTAGGAATTGGTGGGGATTGGTCAGTGGGGTGGGTAGGACGGATAGGTGGGAGAAGATGGACAGGTTGTGTCAGGTCAAAGAGGCTGGGATGAGAGGGATGTGTGCTGTATATTTACTTAGAATTGTAGAATCCCTACAGTGTGGAAGCAGGCCATTTGGCCCATTACTTGATAAATTCATTCACCGCAAACCTTTTGCTTTCAGTCCAGGCAGCAATGTGAAGAAGTCAGTTATCTAAAGGATAGCCAGTCATAAGGTATGTGCATCTTTCCATTTGATCTGAGGCCAGGTATCTTCAGATGCATATTGAGCATTGCAGGTACATAGCCTCTGGGCAACCTGTAGATCACTACAGATGGATCCCATGGTTGGAGAGATGCTTGTTTGAAGGAATCTGTCTCTGTTTTCTGTCCACATTTTCAGTTTCAAACATCAGTAGAACATCTTATCCATGTTCCTTCCCATAAGTAATTGTGACTGAGCTGATGAGTATCTTCCAGCTGACCAAGTCCAAATCATGTTCCATGGAATTTTAGATTTGTTACTCAAACCTGTCATTTTCATTTTGTGCTAATAAACTGGAATCCAGTGTATTATTGTTTTAAATCTAGCTATAAACCTACACAACTGCAGATCAAAATCCCCTATTTTACCAAGCCTCAAATGAGCTTTTAGTGTATTGCACTAAGGTGCTGTTCTATTTCTATCTGTTACCATCATAATTGACATGTGACATTGGAATTAGTTTGCTAAATAATGCGTTGCTGGGGAGAATATTGTATTGCAGATTCATACCAAGCAATTACAAGATTTAGATATGTGATCCTTTCATCCTATATTCTGGTTTTAAAGGAATGGAGACCAGTATTAAACCCACCTATTATAATAGGATTTTAAAAATGCCATCCTGCAGTATTTTTATTGCAGTTTTTTGGCTGTTCTGTATTTCATGCAGCAGTAATTCATGGAAACAAATTTTCACATGAAGTCTTCACTAGCATTGGACTACCTATACTTGATCCTTCAAATAACTGTTACAGCACTAGGACATTACAAGCACAAAGAAGATTAATGGTACCTGTTTCTTCACTCTTGGTAATTTAGTTAAATGAGGTGATGCTTTGCTGCCTTCACATTTGGTATTGAGCTTTAGACTAAACAGTCCCTCCTTTTCAGACCGACTTTGTGATTATGTGCATTGGATGTTTAAACGAAGGTTGAATCTTGAGTTTGTATCCAACCAGTTTTTAGTGTATAACTATTCAGCTGATGTTTTCCAGAAATTTTGTTGACAAAACATGCCAGTTTAGTTGTTGTTAGCCAGAGACATTACTTGATATGTTAATTAAAATCAGGGAGGCAGAGGGGCCCTGAAACTACTGAAGATTGTGGACCCAGGCAGGTTAGAGATAGGAGAAATTAGTCCATGAACAAATTTGAACATGAAGGAAAGATTGAAAATTGAAATGCTGCTGAATCCAGCCCCAATCCAATCCTTGCATCTTTTGAACACTTGAATATAAAGATTTAAAACTAGAAAATGTAAGTGTAGCTGTTCACTGAAGTTTTTTTTTCAGTTTTTATCTTTCAGATGTTGTGAAAATGACCGAGAATCAGACTTGTAGTGCAAAAATTGGTGATGTACATATTAGGAATGGAAATACAACAATTGTGTATGGCTAGTGTCATCTCCTAATCTTAACAACCTTGAGAAACTTGTTTTGTCCTTCAAAGCAAGTACTATTTTAAAGGGTGTACAGGAGCAGAAAGATCTAGCTGTACATGTGCATAAGTCATTAATGGTGACAGGACAGGTAGAGAGAGCTGTTAATAAAGTATGTAATTTTGTAGGTTTCATTAATAGGGACATAAAGGACGAGCAAGGAGATTATGCTGAAATTTATATAGGACAGTGATTCGACCTCAGCTGGAGTACTGCATACAGTTCTGATCCCCATGATCTATGAAAGATGTGAATGCATTGGACAGAGTACAGAAGAGGTTTGAGAGAATGGTCGAGGGATGAAGAACTTCAGTTATATTAAAAAAAGTGGAGCAGTTAGGATTGTTTCTCTTGGAGAGGAGAGGGAGAAAAGTGGATTTGATAGACATTTTCAAAATAGTGAGTAAAATAGATGGGAAGAAGCTGTGTCTGTCAAAAGGATTGCAAGCTATTGAGCATTGTTTGTGTTTTGTAAAAGAAGCAAACCATGTGAGGTGAGAAGAAACTTTTTCACACAATAGTTACGGTGTAGAATATGCTGCTTGGAAGTGTGGTTGAGACAGGTTTATGCATTCAAGAGGCTATTTGGATCACTTGTTAGACAAATGATGTGTAGATTTATGGAAGGAAGGCAGGAAAGTTTAAAATAAAGAGCTGGTGCAAGCACAGGCAGAATGGCCTCCATCAGCACCATAACAATTCTATGAATATGTCTTCAGGCTAGTAAATTAATTTCTCAATTCATACACTTGTTTTCGCAAAAATAGGTGCCAAGGGTCACAGAACAGAGTTTAGGAACTTATTCTAATCCATCATCTATTGGTTAGAGCCTACACATCACTTTTACTCAACTCTTTGTATCTAAGATTTCATTAAGTATTCGTGGAAGGGAATTTAGAATTTGCATAAAATGCTGATCAAAAATTGAGCATAGTCCAATATTCATGCACAATACTACAGTTAGCTATTGATAAAGCTTCATGTAATCTGTAATTCTGATTTTGTAAAACCTTTCTTTGGTTTCTCTGTACTTAGTTGTGACTGTGCTTTGCACGTTCAAGTCCAGTGAATGTTGCAAGCAATACAGTATGTGTAGAGATGTTTGATCAGATTAACAATTGTACAGAATAGCTGAACTTGCTTCTCAAAAAGCTTTTATCACCACCTTGTTTCTCAATTATTGGATACTGAATAAGGAGGTGGTTACCTCTGGTTAGATTTCCCAGTGCAATAAAATGAATCAAGTGGCTTATTTATATCTGTTCTTGATGTTCAGGTATAATGGAGTTGGGTATATTTCGTGGAGTTTTTTTTTAAAAAAAAAAAAAAGCATTTCTGGGGAGGTTGCTGAATTTTTCCTGCTCAGGACACGTTTCCTGTCCAGTAAAGGTAATTCATCCTCAAAAGCCAACTGTTGCATATAGTGATTAGTAATGATCCATGTAATTTGCTAGTCACCAGGTAACTACAAATTCAAAATGTCTTAATGTGGCCAGGACAAAGAACACGAGCATCAGTATCCTGATTTCTTTTGTACTTTAGCCTGTGCATATCACAAATTTCTAAAGAGTTTATTCTCCTCTTTTTTTTTCTGTTTGATAATATTTTGTTCTATTTAATCCATTGGATATTCTTCTTTCTGAGGGCCAACAATTATTCTTTCACCAAGGAAGCCTTGACTGTAAAACTAGCTACTACTTTCATACTCCACATTTCTTATGTACCCTTTATCCATTTCAGTACCTAACATTGTAACTTGTTCTTGTTGTGTACTGTTTTCTTCTATTGTTCTCTAAACTAATCTAGAATTAAACAATTTTAGTTTTAAGCTGTCTAGAGTTAATAATATTTTCAGAGTTTAGGGTTTCTTTGATTGCTCTATCACTACATTTCTACTGCCATCCCTCCAGCTGGGTTTGTCAAGTCACCCTTGTCAGAAACTAAGCTGACAGGCGACACCTTTGAGCTGTACTGTGATGTGGTAGGGAACCCCACACCAGAGATCCAGTGGTGGTATGCTGAGGTCAACAGGGGCGACTCGTTCATACAGCTGTGGGATGGTGCTCGGAAACGGCGGGTTTCAATAAATACAGCTTACGGCAGCAATGGAGTGAGTGTGCTGCGTGTCACTAGGTTGGCTCTAGAAGATACGGGGACTTACGAGTGCAGGGCCAGCAACGACCCCAGGCGGAACGACCTCCGACAAAATCCAGCCATTACCTGGATACGAGCCCAGGCCACTGTTGTCATCCTACCAAGTGAGTACTACATATAGTGGTACCATAGTAGTTCCTGCTGGTCAGCAAGACCTTGCTCCTTCCCTGTTGTCTTTTTTTAAGATTTTCCCACCACCCTTCTCCATTTATGATGTTGTAGACCTGCACTCTCCTTAATAGTCTAGAAATGCCCCTCAAAACGCACTTTGTCTTGCCTTTCCTCTTCATGATGCCTCTAGTTTGTGTGACTTAACTGTTCAAAAAAATCCCAGTATTCAAGTCACTTTACTCTGCCTTCGTTAATATTGTGATGTGTTTGTCCCACAAATTCCTTACCTGCTTAGTATTCCATGGACAATAAGTTTTTTGTTATCATCAATCTTTGTAATGAGTGTGCTTGAGATGCAAACCTAACCAGATTTGGTTTTCTTTCAAAGCCGCCACGGCCAGCCACAAGAGTGCTGATGTATATCTTTGTGTGTGTGTGCGTGCGTGCACTTTATTCTTACCTAATGTGTTGGATGTGGGACAGACAGCACAACGAACTGCAAAGGGAGGTGCAGTGAATGCTGATTGGTTTCTGTGGCTGCATGGGTCAGGGGAAAAAAATGATGCAGTGACACAATTCTGAAAACCATTCTAAAAATGGCTGAGGAACACAACTTATTAGACCTTTATATGTATTAGACCTTGCTATCCAAGTCGTAGACGATTAAATACGTTACAGTACATTTAATTTAATAGCCATAACAGTGACACCATCAACAAAATTAACTTACTTGATTCTTATATTTTTGATCTCTTTTTCTACCTTCCAAGGACAGAATGCATAAGACATCAAAGAGTTTGAAATTGGACTACTTTAAAAAAAAGAAAATCTGATGTGTCTAACCAGCAAATTCTGACATCTCCTGCTTTTAAAGAGTTTTTATTTAAAAGTTGTGTTCTATGTTGTTGAAAGAAGTGCACACAGCTAGCAGTGCATTTTTACTGTGCTAAAAACAGCTTTACTTCTGTGTTATCTGCTAAAAATTTCCAACTAATCTGCCATGTACTGCCTTAACGTCACCCCAGTGTAAATTTTATTTGGAAAGAAGGACAAGTAAATTTGTAAACTTGCATATTTGCTGAACTGGCTGACAAGCTTCAATTTGTGCATAATTGAATGGATTCAAAATGCTGGCTTGCTCTCAAGGATCATGTCAGTGTCTTTCAGAAGTAAATTTTAGAGAGAACCATGAGCTCAAACTTCTGCATTTAAGGTCATTTTTGTTTTGAATGAATGCAGAGGACTTCATTCTGGATGCTGGGATTGGTTGGGGTGTGGGAGGAGTGTTGTGGATGGAATTATAAGACAACATGGATAGTTTCTGAAGTTGCATTGGAGATGACTAACTTAATAATGGCCCTTTAAGAAAGTAGCCACGGTAGCTCACCACAAAATTAACAATGAAACATCATGTTGGTGATAACCAAGGATATAGATATTTTTTCCTTTAAAATTACAAGAATAGGGGCTGCTGATTATTTGTTTGTTTAAATTGAAGTGCTTTTCATTATTTATTTCGCTAACGTTTCTAACAGAAACACTTTTTCGATTATTAGCAGTTGTACTCTGATCTCTTTCATGACCACTGTCTGCTTTACTGTGATTGATTGGGTTCAGTATTCAAATGTCTTGAGCGATTCCATGAAAATGACTTGAATTGCACCATGAAGCCCTTTCCTTCAGAATTCTTCATTTTTCAAACTGTTAGCCACCCTCATTTTGATAAACAGCTCTTTGGAATGCACATTAATGCAAAAGTGCATGCCTGACCCAAGAGATTGAGTATTGTAAAATGTTGAGATATCTAAGAATTTAACGCCGTCTCATGCAGTTTTAACTGTAATAAGAGTTTAAAAATTCACTTCCAGGCACATGGTATTCTGGAAGTAGATAAGAATACTCACTTAAATTATTGAACCTTTTAATGGTGGCAGTATAACCATACTACGATGTGAAACTTCTCTCTACTGTAGACCATTGACCTTCATTTGCTTTTAAAAACGCTGTGCATTATGCTCTAATTATACAAATGATGCTGTTACACTATAGGGTTTGTACTTTTCAGCATCCAAAACTTGCAGAATAATATCTGTATTTAAAATGGTGAACAGACAGATGTCCTAGAAATCCATTAAGTACTAGTCTGCTAATATTGCCAATCGTGATTCCAGTCCTTTTTGTTTTTGAAAACAGAAGTTAGATATTGCAGATTAACTGCACTATGCATTTACATCTTGCTTTAATCCTTCGTTTTTCAATAATATTGATAAGTTACTTAATGCTATCAAAAATAGGAAGGAGAACACGGTCATTCGGAATGGTGAGTAGGCATTGAAAGCAATGATCCTGTTGAAAATTCTTTTACCTCTTCTCTTTCTTTTCTCCTATTCCAAACACACCACCACAACCCTACCACCATTTTCACTTGCTTTCCTATCCTACAGATTAGAATGTGTGTTGACCACACCCTTTCATCTCTTCTGTGTTCCAAATAATCTCACTATAGATTTGCCTGCAATAGTATCGCTTTTAGTGTCAATGTCTCTCAAAAGGAATTTTAAGGGATCACTTCTTTACAATGTCCATAATGTATTGTTTTTAATTGTTCAAAACACATGCAGTGTCCCCTTTTGCTCGATTTGTGGCTGACATTCAGTAGTCCAGAAGGGGTTAATTTCTGCTGACCTGCCAGAAATTGGAGCTTCTTAAATAGAAATACTGGAGTGGCAAATATGATATGTGAATTATTCAAGAGATAGTAGGAACTGCCGATGCTGGAGAATCTGAGATAACACGGTGTAGAGCTGGATGAACACAGCAGGGCAAGCAGCATCAGAGGAGCAGGAAAGCTAACCATTCCTCCCACCTCGAGCCCCACCCCCATCTCCTACCCACTAACCTCATCCCACCTCCTTGACCTGTCCGTCCTCCCTGGACCGACCTATCCCCTCCCTAACTCCCCACCTACATTCACCTTCACTGGCTCCAACCCCGCCTCTTTGACCTGTCTGTCTCCTCTCCACCTATCTTCTCCTTTATCCATCTTCTATCTACCTCCCCCTCTCTCCCTATTTATTTCAGAATCCCCTTCCCCTCCCCCATTTCTGAAGAAGGGTCTCGACCCGAAACGTGAGCTTTCCTGCTCCTCTGATGCTGCTTGGCCTGCTGTGTTCATCCAGCTTTACACCGTGTTATCTGTGAATAATTCAATGTGGCATTCCACTGTAAATAGTGACATTTCTCCTGTGTGAAAAAAGAATGATATATCATTTTTTTTTGTAAGTAGACAAAATAGACAAAAAAAAATCAGTTACAGAACTGTAAAGACATTAGACATAATATGGGCATGAGTGAGATTATGATCCTGTACTGTCCATTCGACTTTGGAGTTGCATTGGAAACTTTAAAAGATCAAAGGAAGGGCAAAATATTTTGAACTATTGTGTTGCAGGGTTGAATTAACTTTTGAAGACTCAGTGAAGGTTAAAGCGTTTTACCTTCCATGTGCTCAAGGCTCAGCCTGTTGAGATTATTGACAATAAATGCTGTTTGTCTAAAACCTGAATGGACAGAATTGGGATGTGTGGTTTCTTCTACTTTGCAGTCTGTTATGATGCCTGTCATGCGATCCAATATTTTTTAAAAAAAAACAAATGAAATAATGAACTAGCCTATAAAACTGCAAGAATAACTTGTAAAGTTTTGCAAAATATTTCAGTATTGTTTAATTTAAGCATTTCAAGTAGTTTTACAGAGGGGGGGGGAAATCACCTAACTTCGAGTCATGACATCACTACAGTTTTGGGCTGTTGGTGGTCTTCAGAATTTTGCCCATCCAATTTCTTTTTTTATGTCTGGGTGCATCGTATTTGATGTTTAATCTCCTAATTTAAAAAGGAATCTATTGCTTTTCCGTTTTGTTATTGAAAACTGTTGATGGAAGTGTCTGAAAAAAATAATAATTTCTATGGAGTAAATGGCAATGCGATTCAAAATATTTCCAGGCAAATACTGATGGAAATTTCGAATGTATTAGCAATGCAACGAGGGCCGGGCCATAAATGCTGGTCAGTTAGCAATGCTCATCTCCCACGAGAGAATAAAAGAAGCACGTGTACGTAGAAAGTGGTTAGATGAAGACTTGATATAAATTGAAGGTTATAAGGCAAGTGTGATAATGGAGTGGGCAGAGAGTGGAATTGGATAGAAATTAGATCCAATGTAAAACTAATGTAGACAGGATATACTAAATGGCTTCAGCTGCTGGAATTATGATAGTATGATTCTGCCTCTTAATTAGTATTAATCAACTATCTCTATATTGCTACTCTTGAGGCTGAAACTATATTGAGAAATAAAGTAAAATCAGTATACAAATTGCTAATATAAAAGATAACTTCCATTGATGAACTGAATATGTGATTTTGTGAACATAATGGTAACTATATCTTATAGATTGGCGGCTACTTTTGATTTAAACTGCATAACCATGTCAGAAATAAAAAAAAATTTAGTAACAACTGTTGATCATGAGAACTGAACAGGGTATACAACCTAGAGGTAGTAAGAACTGCTGATGCTGGAGTCAGAGATATCACAGCAGGCCAGGCAGCATCAGAGGAGCAGGAAAGCTGACGTTTCGGGTCGGGACCCTTTTTCGTATAGAACCTATATATTATTGTGAATAAATTGAATTTTCTGGGTCGTGAGCCATGAAAGTATATTTACTTTAGGTGTTTGTTACTCAAGATTCTGGGCAATTAACAGGGCAAATTCACTTATAACAAAGTGTGATGACTGGTTTCATTAGCATCGATTTAAAGCTGATGGCACAACGACTGTGGGTACTCGGGCAAGGTTTTGGTCAAAAGTTGGAGGGCAGGCACTGGGAGTAGGGGATGGAGTGAGAAGAGCTTTTTAACACAGCAAGTGGTAATGACTTGGAACCCACTACCCATGAAGGTTACAGAAGTGAAATCAATTTTATTTGACAAGGAAATTGGATGGGCTTGAAGAAAATAAAGCTACAGGCCTTTTGTGCTAGAGCAGGGGAATGGATCTGTAACGAGCAGCACGGATGGCAGAGAGGTTTATGCAGGGACTTTCAGGGAAATTGGTTTAGTTGAAGACACCTTGCAACAGAGCATAGTGGATTTATGGTTAAGAGGTGGTAGAAGTTGAGGAGCTATGACTTCAAAGGGCAGGTGAAGAAAGGTTGAGAGTGAGTGTTTATAATGTAAAAGTTAGGGAAAGTAGTTTAAACTTTATGGTGAGAATTTCAAAACTGTAATGGGAGATTGATATTGGATCCTAATCAACAACTGAAGGTGATTGGGATGAGATACAGGCAGCTGCATTTTGGCACAGTAGGTCTGATGTTTGAACAGTCTTGGGAGGCCAGCCAGTAATGTATTGTGCAGTTGAGGCTGTAGGATACTTCAGCACATGCAAAATTTGGGTAACAGGTGTAGAGGTAGAGTCAGGTTCTAGATGTGAAAGTAGGTGTAGGTATGAGCAGCTGGACCTTACAATTGAAAAGCAAACCCTTTTAAAGGTAATATTATTACCTGAGCCACCAGCAAATTGACATACAGTACTTGTGCACGCAACACAGAAAGCTAGCATGCGGGTATAGCAGGTAATCAGGAAGGCAAATGGAATGTTGGCCCTTAGTTCAAGGGGGTTGGAACAGAAGCGTAAGGAAGACTTTGTGCAACTGCACAGGTGTTGGTGAGACCATGTTTGGAGTATAGCAAGCATTTTTCATCCCTTTACTTAAGAAAAGATATGTAATTAGAGGCAGTTGAGAGAAGGTTCACCAGGATGACCCCAGTAAGATGTCCGGCTTGGCAAGCAAGTCTACAACCTTCTCCACAACCCGAGCTAAAAATCTTCTCAAAAAATTTTAAAGTTCGGGACTCTATTGATTGAAAGTTAGAAGAATAAGAGGTGGTCTCTGAAACATACAGGATTCTTACGGGACTTGACTGGGTAAATGCTGAGAGAATGTTTCCCCTCACGGGAGATCCTAGGACTAGAGGGCGTAGTCTGAGAATTGAGGGGCACCAATTTACGACTGAGATGAGCAATTTCTTCTGAGGGTTGAGTGTCTTTGGATCATCTTGTCTCAGAACTGTGTGGGCTGAGAACTTGCATACTTTTAAAGCAGAGATCGATTCCCCTGCTGCTCAAGAACCTAGGATTATGGTGGAAAAGGGCAGGAAAGTGGGTGTGAGGAGAGTTGGTTCAGCCATGAGCCTGTTAAATGGCAGAGCAGGCTCCAGGAGCTGAACTGCCTACTCCTGTTCTTATTTCTTATGGATTGGAGAGTTAAATGTGTGACTCGAAGTTTGGTACATGATAAATGGATTTCAATTCATGGAACATTGATTCAAGTATTGGGGGAAGTGGGAGTTGTATTGTTGGGACAGTCTACATTTAAGCTGTGCTAGGACCAGTGTTCTGGTCATTGATAAAACTAGATCTCTAGTGAGGGCTTTAAATTAATTAATGGGGGAGTTAGACAATGTGAGGGATGATATGGCAATTTATAGTGAATGGACAATGCAAGAGGTAAAGATCGCATTTATTGCATGGGGAATAGTCATTTTAGTACTGCTGCAGTACAGGGTGTTTCGTAACGCCCCATCTTCAGTATTTTGCACTGTTTCAGTGTCCTTAAGTATATAGTTGCATTACAAACAGTCCTGAAAAAAGTGGACTCGATTCCTGGGATGAGAGGGCTCTCATGAGGAAAGATTGAGCAGGTTGGGTATGTATCCATTGGAGTTTTGAAGACTTGTAGTTGGTCTTATTGAAAAATTTAAGATATTGAAGAGTGGATGGATGTTTCTCCCTCCTGAGAGACTGGCAAGAGAGAACGTGGTTTAAGAATAATGTGTCTCCAATTCAAAAAGGAGGTGGAACTTGACCTGTGGAATTCTGTTTCCCAGAATGCAGTGAAAGCAGGGTTATTGAATCTTTTTAGAGAGGAGTGAATAGATCCTTGAATGACAAGGGAGTCCAAGGATTTGGGGGTAAAGAGAAACTGAGTTCAGCAATCCAATCAACTGATCTTACCAAACAGTGGAATAGGCTTGAGTGGTTGAATGGCCTAGTCCTACTCCCAATTTGTACAAGTGGACGGGAGGCAGAGTGGGTACAGGATTGAAAATTTTTGTTCCCAGCTGAGCTTCCAATCTCATCTGTAATCAACAGTTTATTTTAGTCACGTAACCTCAACTCAGGAAAAAAGTGCACAGTTAATGGTTTATGGGTCTTACCATTGAAAATTTAAATTGCCATGGGTGTTTACTATTATACGTAAATGTCTGGAACTTGACTCACGCTCATCACATTTCTTAAATTTAGTTTGGCAAGCTAGTTACTGACCTAGATTGTAAAATTGACTAACCCGTAACTGAGGATAAAAATAATCAACTGTGGAAGCTGGAAATCTGAAATGGAAACAGAATTTGCTGGGAAAGCTTAACAGGTCTGACTGTATCTTTGAACGTGGAAACAGTTAATGTTTCAAGTCCAATTGATTTCTTTTTGGAACTTTCACCTAAAGAATTTCTTAATTCACAATGGATACTTAACATCAGCACATCAGGTTAGAAACTAGGACCTACTGCAGACCCCAGATCAACCCATAAGCAGCCCTGATGGTCAGACTGGATCTGCTTACAAATCCTTCTTGATTCCACTGCAGCTAGTGTTGAGGGCCATTCTTGTAGATTCTTTGCAGGCAATTCCTACTTCTGTAACCAAGATTTTGTTACTATTTGCCTAACTGTTGAATACAAATTGCTGGTGAGGTATTGGTCATTTGAGCACTCTTTCTATCCATATTTCTTTTTTATTTACAACTGTTGGCATCTTAATTGATATTACAATGAAAACTTCATCTGGTGTCAACTTGGATTTGTAAGCTAGTTCCTTAACCGATACTCTAGAAATCCATCTCCAGTTCCCAACCAATACCAGACAAATTTTGTTAAAATTTCATTTAACCCTTTTGGGAACAGAGGGACTTTGCAATTGCATTGAAATGGGTGAATTAATGGTGTACATCTTATTTTGCTACAAAGAGAGACTGCAAATCTCATTAATATATTTTTGCATTATGAAATTACTCATTCTCTGCTGAGGGACTAAATTCTCTGTTGGCCTGAGTGCTATTAAAATCCTTCAATAGTCTGTTCCCATCTGGTGGTTGTTTTTGCAATCACATTATTAGTAAGTGAAGACTTTATTGGCAGGAAAGCCAGTGTGACATGGATGATATGCTGATGCTGATGCTGATTTTCACCATGGTTTTTGTACTTTTTTTGGTAACTATTTTTTCTAGATTCATAACAAATAATCTTGAAGTGCCAGCTTTCTCAATTAAACTAGTAGCAACAAATCTGTCCATGACCTTAACTATTAGCAGATATATTTTCTGAAGAAGGGTCTGGGCCCAAAACGTCAGCTTTCCTGCTCCTCTGATGCTGCTTGGCCTGCTGTGTTCATCCAGCTCTACACCTTGTTATCACTTATTAGCAAATACTAGTTACATTGAGCTCTAGACAACATGGCACTTTTATTTGCTGCGAAAACAAACTATTCAATATAATAACTTGGAGGCTGGTACAATTACAGCATGTAAAAAGCATCTGGATGGCTATACAAATAGGAAGCGTTTAGAGGGATATGGATCAAATGCTGGCAAATGGGTCTAGATTAATTTAGGATATCTGGTTGGCATGGATGAATTGGACCGAAGGGTCTGTTTCCGTGCTGTACAACTGACTCTAGTGATAGATATTTATCAACGGATGATTGACAAAACCTTAGTGAATATGTAAGAAACAAGCACTTCAGTACAGCACTCCATTTAAAGAATTGTTGTGTTTTCAAGTGGCTGAAGTTTGCTGTATTTGTTGTCTGCCTGACACCAATTTTATGTTTACTAACAACTTTTATTTTGCTCTGTATTTTAGAGCCAAAGATCACACCATCTGAAGACATTGTTTTAAAACATGGAAGTCCACCTATCATCCTGTATTGTAACCTGACCTTGGCACCAATTCTCAGCAATGGCAGTTATTGGATGAAAGATGGAGAAGAGATTGCTGGGACCAGGAATTCTTCTGGTGCAAACAGCACGGAGTACAAGTGAGGACTAAGACTTCAGGATTATGTAAACAATTGAGGTGGAATTTTGAAATGAAGGCACAAATAAATAACCAAGCATTTTTCATTTCTCTGTATAACAAAGGGGAATTGGGGATAAATTCTGATGCATTAACTAAAAATGTACTAGATTCCATGGTAGATATCAAGGTGTAGAGCTGAATGAACACAGCAGGCTAAGCAGCATCAGAGGAGCAGGAAAGCTGACGTTTTGGGTCTAGATCCTTCTTCAGAAATGGGGGAGGGGAAGGGGATTCTGAAATAAATAGGGAGAAAGGGGGAGGC